AATAGTAGAACTTTCCTCCGTTTTCTGCGATTAGATAAAGTTTCAAGACTAGTTCCGTAATATAAAGTATTAATAGAGGTATATAAAGGAAGTCCTAATATAATGCGAGCTTCACGTTGGGCTTTTCCGATTCAAAAATAGTGCAACCGTCCCACAACTCACAAGCATATTCTATAACAGGTAAAATAAAAGTATTGTAAATTATTAAAAGAGCACCCCTACTTAATATGTGTTTCAGTTTCCGTAAGACATTATTTTTTTTCATAACAGAAGTGTAAATTCCATTTACATGATCCCCCCACTTTGCATTCGAATTAAAAGTTACCCCGAAGTGTTTATGATAATCTGTAAAGTTTAGGACTTTCCCATCAAATTCTAAATCTAAGTCTTCTTCGATATCGATTGAATTCGAAAATTACAAACAGATGTATTGTTTATTTCTATATCTCTAGGTCTCTATTTAAAGTTTCTTGAATTTCTAGACAAGATGAAGATGACTTAAGTAATGATGTGTCGTCTGCAAAAAGACGAGACGTTGATTCAAAAATATCTGCTATGTCATTGATAAATATAAGAAATAAAAGTGGGCCAAGAATAGAGCCTTGAGGAACCCCTGCCTCAATTAAACCTACAGAAGAATTTGAACTGTTTAAAATACCTTTTGGTGTCTCTGAGACAAATAATTTTCTTACCACATAAGCAATTCACCTGAAATTCCGTACGATTTTAACTTCAATACAAGACCTCTATGCCAAACCCTATCAAAAGCTTTGGATATGTTACAGAATACAACACACGTATGTTTTTTCCTTCAAGTGCAATACAAATTTGGTGATAAATATCAATGAGTTGATACACTGTAGAATGACCATGCATAAAAACAGACTGATATTTGTAAAACAAAGAATTTTCTATAAAGTAGTTGTACAAATGTTTAAAAATCACTCTTTCAAAAACTTTACCAACAGTGGACAGCAAGGAAATTGGTCTATAATTCGAAGGAGAATGTCTGTCACTCTTTTTAAACAATGGCATGATATTAGCTAATTTCCATTTATTTGGATAAATCCCTGTTGATAAGGACATATTAAATATTATTTCGAGCGGAGTACAAACAGTGTAAGCAGTATTTCTTAGCATATGGTGGCTGATTCCATCCCCACCCGAGGCCTTGCCGAGCTTCATTATCTGTAGAACATCGCGTATTTCAGTTGAATGTAATCTAGTTGAACTAATTTGTTTGTCAGTTTTTGGCTCAATAATTGGAACATCTGTGTTACTGTCATCTACTCTAGTAATACTACAAAAATAGTTATTTAATAATTCAGCTTTATCTTCATCTCTAGTAACTATGTCATTAGTAATAGGATCGATTAAGGAATGTATAGGTTGTGAAGTATCAGACGTTTTAATTAACCTTTTGATTAATTTCCAATAAGACTTGGGATCAGAAGATGAGTACCCATCAATAATATCATAAACATTTTCATAAAAGGTAACACGTGCATGCTTTTTCATATTAGTAACCTTGTTTCGCTGTGATTTGAATGTATTAATATCTATCAAACGTTTGGTTGACCTCCATATTTTATGTAATCTATCCCTAATTCTTAAGTTTTTTCTAAGCTCAGAGGCCATCAATGGCTTATCATTAGGTTTTATGTTTACTTCTTTACTAGGAATACATTCATTGGCAAAAGATAGATAAATGTTCGTAAAACGATCACATGCTAAATTAACTGAGTCACAATTATAAAAAAAATATCTAACGAATTATGATTAGATATAAGTTCATTAAATTTTTCAAAATTTGCACTCTTGTACTGCCAAATCTAATGTTTATAGACTGGTTTAAAAAGACAAGGAAGATTAATGGAAGCAGTACAACCATCATGGTTACTAAATGATCTATCAACAGAAATTACAGAAGATTCAATACAAGAAATAGAGTCAGATAATAGTATAGGATCTAGTAAGCTAGATCTAGTACGTCCAGTACGAGTAGGATCTTTTATAACATTGGGTAGTGATAAGGAGTTAATGATGTCAAAAAGAACGTGATTATTTGAAGCAGTGAAGAAGTCAGCATTAAAGTCACCTGTTACTATATAACATTAGGAGAGATATCAAGAGCATTATTTGTAAATGACCTTACATTTTCCCAAAACGATAGGATAGGGCTTTCTGGTCTATAAGCTGTTCCAATAATGTAAGTCGTGTGGGGTAGGCTAATTTTTGTCCATGTTACCTCATCACCAGGATATTCCAATTCACTATTTATATAAACCAAAATACCACCCCAGCAAAATTTCTATCAAGTCGAAAGGGAGAATGAAAACCATCAATACATACATCATTAGTAGTAACCTGATCATCTAAATGAGTTTCGGTTAGACACACAATGTCGTATTCATCTACTATGTCCTCAATATAGTCTAATTTGTGTTTAACGCTCCTAATATTTAAATGAAATATAGAAAGCTCGCCAAGACTCGGACCTGGACTGTACATCCATAGGTATGTTGTAACTAGCTAGCTGTAGTCCGTATTCTCTTACGTTAATCAAGTTCTGTATGAATCTAGAAATCACAGGATGAAAAGTCTGTATAGCCTACTTTATAATGAAAATGCCATTTTACTGTAAAATTCTGAACATATGACTCATTTAACTGGTACAAGAAATAAATTAAGAATTAAATCTGATTGAAGATAAATTATAATACTTGATTATTTACACGTCTTTTACGAACCGATGTCGAAATAACACAGAAGATTAAAAAAACAAATGAAATCCAGTAACTTTTACTTTTTTTCTTTCTTTATGTAGCATCATATTCATGATGCTACATAAAGCATTTTTTTTTCTCTCAATGACATAGATAAATGTCTCCTTGTTCTTTCAAAAATCCTTGATAGGTCACCGTAGACGCATAAAACGTATTTACAAAAGAAAATGTGTTTATATGAAGTTATATTTCATTCCATTTAACGTTAATCAAGATACAAAAACGTATTGGGCATTATGATTAAGAAACACTGACTATTTTATCATACAATAAACCACATCGCCACCCCTCCCCTGTATACAGTAGGGTCTATAAAACACCCACATTATACAGTACTAGGCAATAGTTACGAGCCTTTATTACCGTAAATCTTCTCTTCCGCCGTTACCAAACCCCTACCCGTTATGATACTCTAGTCCCTTTGTTATACCTTCTTATCAGATTATTACGTCAGAAGTAAGATGATAGGGGTGTGACCCTCAGGACAGCACTCAACCACACCCGTCGTGTCAACACCCTATACCCCCCTGGGTGTCAATTAATTAGAGGTATATGACCTTGCTCCTGTTGTTACCTGTACACACCTGTAAATGAAGGTGTGAACTTGGCACCTGTTTATCAGCAGTGATGAAACAGCAATATATCACGTTATAAGTCTCAGAAGAAACAAGTATAATATCTATGAATACAATGATATAAGGTACAGGTACGTATCTATATGAAAGATGACGGGCTACGGAGTAGGTTTCCTTAGCAATCATCGCCACTAATAACTTATAAAATAAAAACATGTATCGAGTCCGTGACGGAATTTAAATGAAGATGTCAAAATTGTTTATTGAAACTCATTTTTTTTCATCTAACCCTCTCCTTTCAAAATGCAATAGCTTTAATTACAACTGTAACAGAAGGGTACTCAATTAGGTAGCTAATTGTTACGGTGTAACTGAAATTTAACGATAAGATTACGTTCTTACTTCTGTTACGGTGGAGGTGGATCTAGGTTTTTTAGTTGCAGTAAAAACAAACAAAAACTTTCAAACCCACCCAACCCTCAATCCTGATATGTCTTTTTCCCCCACCACGGAATTAGATTATATAGAAGTCCGTGCCCCCACCCAACCCCCCAATCCTGATATGTCTTTTACCCCCACCACGGAATTAGATTATATCTAAGTCCGTGCCCCCACCCAACCCCCCAACACGGAATTAGATTATATCTAATTCCGTGCCCCCACCCAACCCCCCAATCCTGATATGTCTTTTATAAACGAATCATTTTCCAATGCTTATCGGTACTAGCCGGTTAATGGCTCACGAGGAATAGATAAATTAACAAAAACATTTGGCGGGACTTTAAAAGGCGAGGGCCTAAAGCTAAACTGCCAAAAAAATCAAAGGAATGTATGATGAAAGCAGTTGGACCGGCTTACATTTGCTAATAGATTTAGAGTGTATAGCTAATTTAAACTAACCAAATAAACAATGAATTTATATATATCTCGAATATTCTTAGTTCAATGGAGTTGATTTGATCCATCAACATGAAAATCCTGATTAAAAAAAACGTGAATGTGCATACAGCTGCAATACTTATCAGTTTCAAAGCATCAAGTACATGTATATAACATATAACCAGAGACTTATATTAGGCCTAATATATAATATATACGTCTCTGATTTAACATATCGTCAACTATAATATATCTCCACCTCTAGATTTCCTCATAATACGTGCGCTTGCATTGTTAAATATTGAAATAAAAAACAGTAAAAGAGATTACTAGTGTCGATTCAAATTATTGTCCAAAAACTCACATTATTTGGTAAAAAAACCCATTAATGCTACCACGGTATTAGATTAGATTGCTACCTAAGTCCGTGGTAAAAACTATAAGATATTGAAAACATAGTGCGACTAACCCTTCTAGGTAATGATTTATTTATCTTTTACATCGATTACTATATCACCTACAGCGTGAAAGGGAAGAATTTGTTGGTTTCTATCTACCCGGGTTTCACGCGCGAATGTGAAAAGTCCGCTAAATTTTAGATTATTCGGATTGTTTCTAAAATAGCCATCTATATAGGTGGTAAAGCGCTAAGGTAAATACTACTCCGAACATAATGCCTCGATGCTGCCTTGTGTATCATGTGATCACTAGGTAAGTCTTCTGATTGGTCCAATTCGTCACCAGCGGGGAATTCAACCGGCTTGCCTCGTTTCAATCCAGATTGACTCAGCTGAGCAAAACACCTTTCAAAATCTTTTCTTGAGTTGACTTGACAAGAACTGATTCTGAAGCCTCAATTAAGCCTGCATGTCTGTTGGAGTGTAATCTAGCTGCAGACAAGAAGGCAACGTTGTGTGCTTTAACATTATTTTATTTTCATTGAAACGGAGGCAGTGTGACATTTCGACTTCAAAATGTCGACGTTCGTGTTTGACGCTTATCAAGACTCTGAGAACCAAGCAACACGTCGGGTAAAAAATGCACCCAGAAATATTGCACCTAAGAGGGCTGCTTTGGGTGTCATAACCAACCAAGTCCGAGTGCAGCCGTTTAGAGCAGCAAAAGTAAGTTAAATTTAAATTATACTTCGTAGTTCATTGCAATATCCGACCCACCGAGCAAGACCCACCATTGTCCATGTTTGAAATTCAAGCGGCAGCGCAATTATCGGATATATTCGTTCATAATTTCATTTCTGGAAAATAATTAATAGATTGTCAACTTTATTATTGTGTTTGACTAAATTCGCAAATTTCTTTGTTTGAAATTAGGCGCTTGAATGCGAAAATGTGCGAACACGCGGAGATTGTGCACGGAGCTTGTATCTCACAAAGACGAAATGTTACATTAAATACAGCTTACATAAGCTGAATCAAAATCCTTTTTGTTTTGGTTTCTGAGATAATCGAGCATTTTTTTCTGTTTACCAGGCTGGCACCGAAGCATTTCAAGATGAAAATGCGTTTTCAAGGCAAGGAAAGGTTTTCGGACAGAAGCAGGAGGTCCAACCTTTTTCTATATTTGTTGACGACCGAAAAACATTACAAGAACTTAAGCCAGTATCTGCTAATATGGTGGCAAGTGCTGATACCAAAGTGCAATTGTCTGATGCTGTTACAACTCTAAACCGTCTCCATGATCCTCTTTCCACAGCAGCAAACAACTCTCTTATTTGCATAGATGAAAGTATTGGTGAGATATTTTGGATACTCAAATATTGTAATATTTACATAGGTGTGACGGTGTACAATTTCCTGTATATAGTGAACTAGTTCTGTAGTTCAGACAGGTTTTGATTAATTCTATCGGCCAAACTATATATTCACCATAAATATCCTGACACGCTTGGTTCTGCTGGCTGTGGTCATCGGGATACGGTAGTGGAAATGTACTCCCTATAGTCAGGTCCAGTACACTCTGCCGATTGAGCTATATAGCTATAAAGACCTATATAGCTATATACACCTATAAATTATAGCTGTATTGAGCTATATTTTCTCAGATTTCAAATTTCATTAAATTAAAGCAAAGTCGCATAAAACAATAAGGTTAATGGTAATGTTGACTACAAAAAGCATACAGTTAGATGTTTATTTTCATTTTTCATAAATGTAAAATTTCCGATTTCTTTACATCATTATTTTTTAAAAAGAATACTTATATTTAATGTCTTTTGTTATCAACTTAATGATACAATCTTCTTTTAAATGCGACTTTGTTCCGTTTTCCTTAAAAAAGAAAATCACTTGAAAATAGCTCAAAAGACCTATTTCAGATAGGTCAATAGAGCTATTATAGGTCTTTACAGCTATATAGCTCAATCGGCAGAGTGTACTGGACCTGTATAGTAGTACACAACATGACTACTGTATCTAAATTGGATCATTCTCTGCAAATATACTTTAATATTAAAATCAATAAATATGTCAACTGTTTAGTTAGTACAATGTAGCAGAACTGGACTGGGTTGACAGTCGGCAACTATATAGCTGAATTTTCAGGGCGTCCTTGGTTTGAACCCTTGTTTTAAGCATTTTGTGTATGCTTGGCAAGGGAATACCCAAACCTGGGTTGTAAAAAGTTGTCTTTGGGAGCGACAACTTTTAAGAGGAGGGGATTTCAATGATGAACTGATATCAACTATGGTATTTGTAATCGATGATCAGAAAGGGCAAACCAATCGATTTTCGATTTTAATCGATCATCAACTCATCACTACATAGAACTAATGAAGATAGTACAATGTTGGTCGCCAAGATCACAAGAGATGATTAATCTTATAAGTTCAGATAGCATTAGAAGATGTATTTCAAACTCAGATCTATTTGTTATCATTGAAAAATGGTGCATGCGAGGACAACATTTTGATTTGGACTGTAGGAATAAGTTCATACAAATTCCACATATCATAAAAAGTACTGGTCATTTGCAGCACAAAAATTGTCAAAATGTTGCAAAATTCAAGCTGTGATTCGTTTTGGGTACAGACACTTGCAAAAACTGGAAATACTTATTGTTGACATCAGTGTTGTTTAAATTACTTGCGCGAGTCCTGGTTATTTATCCACTGAATTTTCAATAAAAGAAGAAAATGAGTCTGTCCCCTTGCACAAGCATGTTCAGACACACAAATATATTTCAAGCTTTTGTCGTAGTTTTATGAATATTTCCAAAATGGAGAAATTGACCTAAAATATTTGAAACTATACCTTTTTCTGGAAAAGAATTCATCAGTACAATATGTATAACTAGCATTTATGAGAAATACCATCCATATATTAAATGAAAAGGACCCAACATCGTGCATATGCTACCACATGTACAATTGGTAACACTTTTGACAGATTTCGGTTATGTTTATAAAACATGATCTGTATCTGCAATTATTCTCGATTCTTGACAAAATTACCCATTGTGGTTTATTTTTAGAAAAAGTTTTTGATTCCAAAGTAATTTGTTTTTGAAAATAGAATGCTTAACTCCAGCATTTTGCTTCAGATTCTCCTATGGTGCTAGACATTTCACATGATGTAGCAGAAGAGGAGAAAAAACCTTTAAACAGAGAAGCTATCATCACAACTGTCCCAGAGTATGCAGAAGAAATATACACACATTTACGAGAAGCTGAAGTAAGTACTTTGGAAATTGTTGTTCCATGGCATTGGTCCGTGATTATGCGAATCACAAAATCCTTAGGCTGAAATAATATTAAACATATATGTAGGGTCCCATATGCATTCAACTGCCAATATATTTTGGAGACATAATTTGGGGATCGGATTTCATTTTCAAATAAAACTTGGGACAATTTTTTCTGTCTTGCAAGAAAAATCCCAAAAATCTGATTGATTTATTTTTTATTTTTTACAATTGAGGATAAGATGATTCTCACTTTCAAAAATAGGATTGACATTCGGTAAAGGCATGTACTATCAAGAATCAATAGGACATTGGACTATAAACAGCCTGTTTCCATTAGATGCCATATTGTATAATTTTGTCTTTTTTTTAGTTGAAAAATAAACCAAAGGCTGGCTATATGAAGAAACAACAAGACATCACAACTTCTATGAGATGTATTCTGGTAGATTGGCTTGTGGAAGTGTCCGAAGAGTACAACCTTCATCGTGAGACACTATTCCTCGCCATCAACTACATAGACCGCTTTCTGTCCACAATGGCTGTTCAGAGGGGCAAGCTTCAGTTGGTGGGCGCTGCCAGCATGTTTCTTGCATCGTAAGTGAAACTAGACCCGAAACATTTCATTTCTATGAACACTTATTTTTATCAAGAAAAACAACTTAATGTATGAATGTTTATGCTTGGCATTTGCTTATTTTCTGTTTTTGATTGACAGGAAATATGAAGAGATCTACCCCCCAGATGTTGGAGAGTTCGCTTACATCACAGATGACACATACACAAAGAAACAAGTAGGTTATTTCTCTGAACTTGATATGATAATCCCTGTCCATACTTAACAGTAGCTGTATAGGCCGGGCTAATACTAGTAATATATTGTATCTGAACTTTGATAATTCATGTTCTCGACACTAGTGGAGTACCGAAATCCGGAAACATCATTTAAATCGAGCTTGATATGATGTCGATTCGATAATCAATCTTGAAACTTTGTCATAAAGAAGACAAGTCTTTGTAGGTTTGTCACAAAGAACTGAAATTCTTGCATACATGCGGTCGCTTTTCAAGTTTAATCCAACGTAAACGTCACTTTCACCCGTTCTTGTTGATTTTCGCTTAAATCATGCCGTCATTCAAGCATGGTAGCTATAGCGTCATTACGTAAACAAGGTCAGTGCAGTGTTTTGTATGTACGGTTAAATTTATAACTTATAAATGACGAAATCCGGAAGTACGGCAAATGGCAGCCATCGTAATGAAAACACTTCGTTTTTTAGCAAAGGGATGATGGGACATTTTATAGTACCGATTCAATTTCAAATGGGTTAACTTAATTCACAATAATAAATGTCATATCAAGTACTTAACCCAAAATGCATAACCTTATTTGTTTGTGTTACAATCGCTATCATCATGACTTGTCTAGGAAAGGTGAGGTATGTTCACTTCTCAAACGATAATGAAACGGTCATTGTCAAATTCTGAGCTACGTTTTCTCATATGAACTTCTCTAAGATTAAGCTATTAGAAAAATAACACGTAGTTATATCAATATTTTTAAATGATTGGACAAAATGTCAATTTATTAGATGTATTCTTTTTGGCACTTATTTCAACTGATAATCGATTATCAAACTTGAATGTCCGATAATCGATCTTCAAAATTGGACCGATTCCCAGCACTACTCGACAGAGAGACAAAAGGTTGTCTGTAAAAGTTTATTATGGATTGCTAGCTCAAATTATTAAAGACAGGTCAGATACACTGTTATCAGCCATTTCTAAAATCATTAAAGGGGCTGGTCGGGGGGAAAATTACAAAATAAATGGGTCTAAATTCGTTCTCTGGCCTTACAAAAGTTATACCACAGCAATATGATGGGCGAGTTCTGCTGGGAATCGGTCCAGTTTTGACCACTGAAATCTCGGAAGCCCCGCGTAAATTTAGCGCAGATCTATTTATATATGTCACATGGTTGTTTCGAAAGTGAGGCAGTGAAGATAACGCACCGTCTATCAGCCATGTCGGACAAGACAGCAATACTATACGTAAATAATTGTTTTCAAAGGTCATGTATGATGCAAGTGTAGTATTCCTACCTATATGTTGTTATATATATAACGGTATTGATACCTCGTGCCTGTCATGACTTTAGCATGCATCTTTTTCTTTTGCCGCAATGTTTACATTTGGCTTTGTTGATGACACGCATGCGGTAAAATTGCATCACTGATCTGGGTCAATTGAGAGTTTTAGACTGTCATGTGACGATTTAGGATTTCTTTAATATAATTATAATTTTTACTCTTAGGGAGTGAATTTCAGCAAAATTTGAATCTGTATGTTTCATAAGAATATATTTTAAACATGTGTATGCCATTTTAGCAAATATGACATTTTTCCCCCGACCAGCCCGTTTAAGTACTGCAGAATTCTGACACATTGTGTTCATGGTAAACCTACTGACAAGCTTTGATTAAGGGTGCTTCCCTTTACAAAGGTTGGAAGAGAAAAAAGATAACACTTAACAGTATGAAGTGAGAGATACCATTAGCCTTGATGATTTCATCATTTTAAATAGGTTTATTTACCGAGAACCCTGATATTACAAAAGTTTTATTCTCCAAGTATTCATTCTTTTAAAGCAGAGTTCGCTATATTTTACAAAAATTGCCAACCTTTTATCCGACTATTTTAGAATTTTGTTAGAACACTGATATTATATGGCGTCATCTCATTGTTCATGATTGTTTTAAAACAAAAATTTAGCAACATCTGTTCACTGTTGAAATTGTGTTTTGAAGGTGCTGAGGATGGAACATCTTATCCTGAAGGTACTCAAGTTTGACATCTCTCCTCCAACTGCTAACTGGTTTTGTGACCATTTCCTTAAGCAAGCTGAATGTGATGACAAGACCAAATCACTCGCAATGGTAAGTTATGTTAGATTCTGAGAAACGGCAGATATTTTATATCTATTCTAAGCATGTTTGTGAACAAATTGTCTCTAAATCAAAACATCATTCAAAAGTTACATGGAGTTGTCCGTAGTATGTACAGTGTTTTATAGTGTTTGTTTCAGAAAAGGGTTCCTAAACCCGAAACTGTCAGTATATTAACCAATGAAATTATATATCACTGCATCTGTGTTTAATACAATTGTTTGAAAACACTATTGCAAAGTTGTGAATTTGTGTGTAGCTGCTGATAGAGCTGAGCTTAGTGGAGTGTGAAACCTTCCTGAAGTACAACCCTAGTCTACTGTCTGCAGCGGCCACCTGTCTAGCCTGCTACTCAATGGGAGATGACCAACCATGGGTAAGTTGCTACAAATTCAGTGATCTGAAAGGAATGTTACAAGAAATCTTGTGTTTGGGGTTCATCTGATGTGCAGTAATTTTTTCTCAAAAGCTGATTTAGATAAAGTTAAATGCTTCTCTTATTACACTTGCATATCTTGTATGTTTTACACACACCGAGCTCGAGCGTTATTAAATAAAGCAGTCACTCGTTACAGCTGGCAATTGTTTGATGCATCTAGATCTGGATGTCGCATTGAGTATGAACCTTTACAAGATGACCAAATGTATCTGCGGTCGAGGTCAAAGATCACATTTGTGCAATAACTGTATGGACTTTATTTCTAGACTGATGAGAATATTTGATAAAACTTAAAACAAGCTGGTACATTGCGTTTCCTCTGGCCCCAACATCGGATGTTTTGACAGATGCCTGGTGTGGGGGCCAGAGCACAACGCTATATCCAAACATGGAATTCTGTGACAACTGATTTAGGGAGACAACAAAAACGAATTTGTTTGGCATCATTAGGGTGGGGGAAATTTGGAAAGTATAGAAAAGAACGAGATGGCATTGGTGAAATGGGTGGATCAATGAAATACCTCCTTTATGAATTCATATGTGCAAGGTACAGTCAAACTTGCTCAAGTTATAACGCTCAGAGCAGTAGTACGCTCAAGAGTTGTAGTAGAAAATGATAAGATAGGTGGTTGCTATAAACATGCGAGCTCTAATATTTATATTATATCAAATATTGTTGAGTCGAGTCGTTGATATACAACTTCAACTTTTCATTAGTTATCATTACTCTTCAGTTCTGAAATATGTGAGGTGTAGAAATGAAAACAATATTGGATAATTCAAAACCTTTACCATGATTAATTCAATTATTTTCATACAATATTTCGATTTAAACATTTAATACCACTGGATGGTTTTTAATTTGTGTCAGAAGAGTGGTTTCATTACATTGTATGTTCATCTGCATGTACTATAAAGTTGGAAGTCATTGAAATTCATTTATGTCTACAAAATTCAGTGATGTACAATGTAATTAATAGAAACTGAGCAATCAACCAAACAAAATTTATATACACCCTTATATGCGAAGATAAATTTGTTCGAAGATTTTTGCACTGTAAAATAAAATAAACTATTTTTTAAGACCCAATCTGGTGTGTAAAGTATGTTATGATTGTACCCGTGTGTTGATATTTACAGCCTGCTAGTATGGTCAAGTTGACAGGATACGAGTTGTGTCATATGGTGGAATGTCTACAGGATCTGTACAACACTTATTGCAATGCAACAAAACACCCACAACAGGCCGTCGTGGAGAAGTACAAACACACCAAGTGAGTAATTAACTAAGTTTTTGTATGTTATTCAGTGATTTTCTTTCAGTTTAACAGCTGAATGCAGGCTGCTTTTCCTGTCTAAAAAGTGCTTCATTTTCCCATAATGAAGAAAACATCAGACAGGAATATCTTCCAAATTTCAATAACAATAATGCTGTATTTTCCGAATTAATGTAGGAACAGGCTGTTGTAAAATTTAGGTTGAAAAATCACTGAAATCCTGTAAATCATTTGATCCGACGAGCTACTTGTAAAGTACAATCCTCAGTCCGATGCCCAAGAATAGCACATTTTTGTCAAGAGTGAAATGAAAAATAACAATTCACGGTATAAAAATTAATTTTAAAGTTGCATCTAAATATGAAATTGAACATCCCTGACTTGTAGCAAAGATTTAAAAAGGTGCTAGTTTCCACCAATATTACATGGATACTTTTTTTAATTCCACAACATTTTGTAACGTTTTCTTAGTTGTGCAATAATTTTGTGATTTGTCTGTTTGATATCCTTGTACATGTACATGGTTGATAAATTTGTAAAGAACTTGGGTTTTCCCCATAACTATTAATCTTAAAATTTTCTTGCAGACATCATGAAGTGTCCAACTTCAGCAAGTACCCACCTCCTGCTCAGCTGTCCTTATAGACCAAGTGACAGGAGTCGGAAATCCTGGAGCTGTAGAGGGGAAGTCCCCAGTCCCAACCCAGGGGGCTTTGCACTTCCCTGCATGTGGCCCACACAGGAGTACGTCATACCAAGTTCTTTCATTGCTGCGGCCTGTCGATCCATTTGACGTGCCCGTACAACCAGCCGGATCAACTACCAATTGTGTTCAAGGGAGAGAGGATGTGGTTTGGAATAAAGTTTTGATGAGTTGTGTATGCTTCTGGTCTTTCTGCAGCACAGGAGTGTTACCATGAACTGATTTATTTTGAGTTCCTTCCATCCACGCATTGAAGAGAGGAAATAGCAGCTATTTGTGTTTTAGTCCTAGGTGCAATACAAACTTCATTTTACTTCAACTACATGTTTTCATTGGTATCTGATCATTAGTGTCTTGAAATCTTCGTTTCTAGTGATATTATTTTAAAACGCATTTGATTTTAATGACGACCATTTTTTATCATCTCGACTTTTATACAATCCAATATATTTTTTGTCATAAATGAAATGAGAACTTTTGAAGTTTTATACATTACAGAAATTAATTTTAAAGGCATGTTGATTAAATTGTGCATTGAATGATTACAGTGAGAAATTTGTTGGAGGACATTTCTTTATGGTTGGTTTTTGTAACTAATGAAATGTTTCCTCTTCAATCATTGCAATTTTTTTTCATTTCATTTCAAAGAATCATGAACAAAATAATGAGTTTGTTTTCTCATTTGGATGGTGCTATTTTATGATTTTTATTTTTTAATTTCATTGCATAAAGGATTCAAACATACTATTTCCTTCGGCAGTACTAGAATATTTCCATTTGAAAGAATATATAGCCCAATGTCTTTTCTGATTACTTTAGGAATTATTCATTTACTTCACTGCATGCTAGATAAATTGACAAACTGTGTCTCCCAGTGGAAGTGTATCACCTAGGGGAGGTATTTTTGCAGTTTTCTAAATTAAAAAAAAGATCAGATAGTCACTTGACATGTTCAGAAGATATTTGAATACATTTTAAACATATCAATTTAGCAAATATTTTACAAGTAATATAGAATCATCTGAATAAATGCTAAGTTTGTTTTGAGCAAAAACAGTAATTGAACACTAATTTCGCGAGCTTTTGAAATGTCTGTTTGTCGAGCAAAGCAAGAAAACACATTTTCAAAGTTCTCAAAATAAGTTCTCAATTACTGTTGGTGTTCAAAAACACAGTAGACTAGTGGTTCAACCTTTGGATATCTTTATTCAGAATTCAGTACCTACATGTGTATTTTATTGTTACATTCAGCACTTTTTTAAAAATAATTTGACGTTGACTTTGATGATATAAGTAATTAAGCTATCATTCTGACAAGTGTGTCTATTTTTGTGTAAAACCATAGAACTGCTGTTAACATGCCTAATATCATTGGGAACGGAGTATCAATGTGTATAAGGTCGTAAACGAGTCCCAACGATTGCCTCACTATTCATTAGAAGTCATTTTTTTACCCATAGAAATATAGTGTGATTGTCCACAGCTACTTTTATTTATGAATACCTCCTTTCTGCCATTCTGTTTGCACCTCTGTACATAGTGTTGCTCTCTGTACAAACTTTTACTGTTGTCTTATTCTGTCTTCTGAGGGTGTTACTGAAATGATCATGTGTGTGTTTGTTAATGTCTCAACATTCAAACAAATGATGTATAATTGTGTTAAGTTAATTTTATGAATGATTTGATTGGGATGAATGTCTTTTAGTATAACTGCATAAAGTGAAGATGTGCAACGATGTATATTTTTAGCCATAGGTGCAACAGATGAATTGGGACCCTATGGAGGTGGCATGATTTGAACAGAGGGCAGCACATTCCCATCTTATAAATGACTTTGTGTTCCGATTGCATCATGATTATTATATATTTAAATTGTAATGGCGTGTAGATATTGAATTTTACATATAAAACTTTTTAATTAAAATTAAAACTTGCTCTTTGTCCTTATTTCAAAAGCTCGGCTGACTGGTACACGTGCTTTGGGCTCAACTTTGTTGATCACTGGTCACCTTATCAATTAACTCTGCTTTCTTTGAAAAGATGGGCCTTGACCAATGCTTTCTTTGAGAAGATGGGCCTTGACCAATGATTTTAATGTCACTATCATTTGAATTAACTCTGCACTACAAAACAACTTGAGGTTGTAACGCTCTGTTTTGGCACAGAATTGGATGGGGGGAGACGACTTTGAAAATTTGATTCCAACACTATAAATGTGAAACATTTATGTAAAATTATCACTGGCCTGGCAAGTCTTAATGTAGTGACTTTAATTGCATTTGGCACCAACATTTTGCCTTTTAAGTAAACTGGTTTGAAGAAAAGATGAACCATGTGATACTACATGAAGTCTATTGACAAAATATCCAAATGCTTAAGGAATGATTTTTATTTTTTCAACATTTATGAGGTCATAACAACAATGGGTTTATGGACATATTGAATGAATCGCGTTAGCGATTCATGTAAAATATGTCCAAAAACCCATTGTTGTTATGNAATAAACAGGGTTTGTTCCTGCTTATACACGGGTGCAACGCAGTGGCGAGAACAGTGTTTTTTCGCGGGGAAATGTGAGAGATCTTAGCAACCGTCAACAACAATAACACAACAAAATGTAGTTCCATATTCAAGTTTATTTGTATCACAGGACACGTGAATACGTGGATATTTCACAAAGCACAGTTCAATATTATTTTAAGATGTAAGAATTAAGCATCTAGGTCGGTCGTTCCGAGTGAGTAGTTTTTGTAGTGTATTACTACGTAGTGTGGTCAGGTTACTATCAGTTCCCACGTGCTGAGATTCTATGAACACCTGTGTTATGCATTTATGAATGTAATTTTTGCCAATGGGTCTAAGCATACAGAATGTAAATATAATGCAGTGAAAGTTTTGAAATATAATCTTTTGTTTTTGGCTACTACCAGAAAAACGGTGGAACCAATCAAAATTAAATGGGGAACACAATTGAATTGCACTTGAAAGCACAAGTTTGGTAGAAATGTGTACAAACTCGGAAAAATAATATGCGCTAGTAATCCAGCGATATTTGAAGTATGAAAATTAGCTCAAATCCTTGCTGATTTCAATTGATGCTCGACCCAATATATCAAGTGACAAAAGGGACATACTTTTGGTCAAAATGTTCAAGTACATGTAATCAAAACATCTCTGACGAAGGTTTGTTATAAAACTTGGGACAGCAAGCTTAAGGTCAACAGTTCTTTTTATATGCCAGTCGTATTATGGTATGTGCTAGCTGTCCATCCGTCCGTTAACTTTTACTTGTCGTCATTGCTCTCCTGTTTTCATTCATGAACATAATTATCTTGAACTTTAAATGCAATTTGGCAAGGTTTTGTCCTTATTTCATTGCCAAATAAGGGCATTGTGTAATAAATGCAAAAACTTTTTTTTTTTTTTTTTAAATCATTTCATTTCAAATTTTATACAGTAATGCAAGAAGCAATAATGTTCAACATAAATTATTACAGGTTTTTCGGTCGAGTTTTGGCGTATCACACTTTACATAGCAACACTACTTAATGTTTGCCGTTAACTTTTCATTGTTTATACAGTAACTCGAACAATTATTTTATTTTTGTCAATTACCTGAATGCTTTGAACAAGTTCTTAAATCATGACATTTAAACACTTTTTGGCACAGTTATGCCCCTTTTTCATTGCCAAATAATGGTATTCCTTCGAAAATGCAAGCGCTTTTGAATTATTTGTTTACAATTTAATTCCTTTCAAATTTAGTATGGTACTTAAAACCAAACATCAAATATCGCTAACTGCTTCCAATATATCGATCCCCTTCCGAGGGTCTGACGGGCGTATTGTGCTTCCGTTTGCGGTGCTTTTGTTTACTTTAACAATAAAGTAACAAACTGGACTAAATATAATGTCATTACAGATTCTGCAGGGGAACATTTTCCTAATGTCAGATTCTGCCAGGGAACATCACTATACAGTTACAACCTCCTTGGAGTGACTAGGCGCAAATACAGCAAGTGGAGTTGTCTTTTCCGATGTTTTACATGGAACATCCTTTCAATAATGTAGCTAAAGTTTGTCTTGTGAATTCATGGAGTAGATGCTGAATATAGGGGGAGTGGGGTGGTAAGGTCCTTATCTCTGAATCGAAATGTATGATCTTTTTTAATCTTGACGTGGTGATACACCGTGATATGTGGATTTGCAACATGATTTAAAAAAAAATCTAGGATCAAGTCGCTGTTACTAAAAATAGAATATGAGGGGTACAGTCTTGATCTCAGAATCTGAATGTCTGATCTTTTGACCTGTTTTTCTAGTTCAAATGATCATTAAATGAAATGAACAATATTTGAAGGTTGAATAATTTTATTTTTAAGTCTTTCTGACACAATTGTGAAAAATATTTTAAGTACTCATTCCACCTGTTCTTACAGAACATCTCGGTACATTTAGTCAGTCATCTCACATCCTGGAAATTCCAGGGGTTACATTCTTGTACATTCTCTGTGGAGGGTATAAACATAGGTAAAGAGGTCAACCCAAGGATTTTGAAGATGACATTTAACATCATGATATAAGTTCTATTACATATACTTTCATTTGTAGAAAGTTCATACCAATGTTCAGCACTAATATATATCAAACAGTATACATTTCAGGGTCAAGCTCGCAAACAAAAAAAGGGGTTTTCACCAACCAGTCTAGTGCCTCATTTCCCTTTGAATAATAAATACTACAGAATGTTTACAGGCTTGCTTTCAGAGAACTGCCAGTCGGAGGTGAAGGTCACCTGAACTATATATAGAAATTAAAATATTTTTGAAAGGAAATATTGCTCAAGCAATTATTTCCCTCAGATAATGTCCAGTTAATTTGTGTCTTGTATTAAGACTTCTAGGTTCACAATCAAAACTTTGGAAGACTGTCATGTTCAGTAACATTCCAATGCTAAAAAAACAGATCCAAGAGGGATCTTGGCACCCACCTTTGTAACATCTTCATAGGTTTTATGTAAATCTTGTTTTCCTTTATCTTGGATAAAGTCATGTAAACAGTAAATGTATCTTGTAACTTTTGATCAAAACCTCCTACTGATGTGTATAACATTCTTTCAAAGCTATTTACTAGCACAGTACTTGTGTGTAATAAGGAGAACAAATATTTGAGAAAGATCTGTCTGAAGTACTTTGGAAATAGCGATAACAAACTGTGAAAAATCCAAGATGGTCACCTGACGACCTTTTTGTTTTTCTGATCTGCCTAAAAATGAAATATGCACAATTTAGAATCAACATTGAAATTTTAAAAAGATTTGTTAAGCATGCGTACCTCTTGAGAAATAGTGATAATATAATTGAACTGTCAAAATCCAAGATGGCTGTCTGGTGGCCATCCGGTTGTTGGGATTAGTCCCAAAAATCAATATGCAGAAGTAGTGACCATGGAGAAACAAACTACATGTAAAATTTGAAAAAAATCATCCCTCCACAACTATCTGAGAAATAGCGCAAACAAACTTTTAACTCCCAAATTTCAAATCAGTCCCAAAATTTGATATGCATTACTTGGGATCATCGGAAACTTGAGTGTAAAATTGAAGAAAGATTCCTACAGCACTTTCCGAGAAATAGCGTTAACAAGAGTTGTTTAAGGACAAAGTTTGATTTGAATGCCAAAGAACTATTAAAACAGTGTATGATATAAAATAACACTGATTCTGAACATTTAGCACCTAGTATCCTATTGGGATTTGATAAATACTGAAACTGTCACTCATCTCATCCAATTAGCACCCAGGCCCCCACCAGGACATGATAATACTGAAAATGTTGGTCTCGTCCAATCAGAGACCAGGTCCCTACTGGGTTGAAAATATTGTATGTCTCATCCATTAGAAACCAGAACTTGACTGGGACTTGATAAATACTGAAAATATCACATGTCTCATCTAACCAGAAACAAAGCCCAAAATACATCTTCATAGATACTGATGATATTAAACCTCTCATCCAATCAGAAACCATGTCTCAACCTGAACTGAGTAAGAAAAAATAATGTTGCACATCTCATTCATACTGATAAGGCCAATTTTTTTTAAAAAATCTGTTTAGGGTTGCATGGGCCAAAAAACTAGGGTAAGTAGGTCGGTTTTTTTTTGGTTTTTTGTTTTTGTATATTTTTGGTCATGTGATTATGACACTACTATTGTATGTAAAACAAAGAATTACATAAACAAGGTTCATTTGGCGGCAAATTGTGCTCCATATGATGACATTTTTTATTTTAATTTTTTGTTCTTTGTTTTTTCATCAAAAAGTTTTGGGTCGAGGGTAAAAAGCTAGGGTCGGTCGGGAACCCTAAACAGACACCTAAATGCAAATTTTATTCAAAAAATAGACTGCACATTTACACTTTTTTCTTGTAATGTGCATAAAGTTCCAGGGATTTCATCCTTGACACTCCAGGGGTTATGCTCACACTCTCTGGACCCGTAATTTGTCAGAGCATGTTAATTCAGGACACAGTGCTAGGTATTTGATTGGTCACGGGTAAAAAAAAGTCTGACCAATGCTAGGCTGATACCTTTCCTTTGATGAATAAAGAAGAGTTACACCAACTTCAAAGCCAGTCCATTTTCGGTTAGGCTACTGTAAGTGAGCACCATTTTCGGTTAGGCTACTGTAAGTGAGCACCATTTTCGGTTAGGCTACTGTATTAGTGAGCACCATTTTCGGTTAGGCTACTGTAAGTGAGCACCATTTTCGGTTAGGCTACTGTAAGTGAGCACCATTTTCGGTTAGGCTACTGTAAGTGAGCATAACCCCTGCATTAGCAAGGATGCAGGGGTTTATGCTAAAACTGTAATTGTAACTTGCAAGAGATATTTTTTCATCTTCAATAAGATTCATCAGTTTGGAAATATGTAATATAAAAGTTTTACTTTATACACAAACAATGTACATATTAAACATGTTGCAACTTGCAACGTTTCAAGTCGGACTGGTCCCTTTGTCAAGCTATGACTGAGTGAGCATAATGGTTGTTTATCATTTTATATCAGCAAGATGATGCAGCTCTTATCCTTATTATCAACAAGAATTCCAGTGATGTGTCGCCTACCCAGGTTTAAATGAAATGATGACTGGTTGCAATTAATCCATGATGGTGGAAAGAAATCAATTACATTTACTGATGTACAAAGTTCAGATTGCAGCAGCCTCATTTCATATTTGTGAATTTGGCTATGCATCAAGCAAGAGCGAAGGACGTTGATAATAGCATATACATGTACTAGATTTATCACAGTCTGATCATTCCTTAAAAATACATCATCTAGAAACCATCAGCCAATCAGATCACAGCAGCCCCATTAAATTTCCATTAAATTTGCTAAGCATGAAACTTTGTGAGTATCTACTTATGGTAAGTTTCATGAAAACCTGATAACATCAAATGTCAAACGATATAGACTTTAATCATATCTGTAGGAAATCCAAGATGGCGACTGGTAGCCATATTGAATTTTGGATCCAAAGTTGAGTTGGTAATTAATGCTATAGTTTGGTATATGAAGAAAATTTCATAAAATTCAAAGCACTCTTTCAAAAGTTATTGCACAGAAATCATGATAATTTTCATAAATCCAAGATGGCAGCTGGTGGCTGGCCATGATGATACACAGTTATAAGTGAAATCAAATTTGAGAGGGAAATTGAAACTGTAAATGTGCATAAAGTTAAATGAAAATCTAAGCATTCCCTTCAAGGTTATCACTTGAAAACCATCAGACTTCACAAAATTTCAGAAAGCTGCTTGTAGCCAGGTTAATTTTCAGATTGGGTTCCAATGGTTATTTTATATAATAAGAAGGTAAAATTTCATAAACTCTAAGCATTTCTTGAAGACTTATTGCTTGGAAACCATTTGTGCAGATGACAATACAGACAGAATTATCACAATGTCACCTGGCATCAGGCGACACAAAAATGACAAATATTTTCACTTAGTGCCATTTCGCACACATATACATACAAAACTGAAAGCTTTACCAGGGGCAACTAACATTTTAAGAAAAAGCATGGGTACACATTTTTGTCTTTTTAACATGACTTTAAGCAATAAAAACATATTTTTGCTAAATGAATTGATGTATAACTACAATCAAGTACAAAAATATTCTCTCAGTTATTGATGAGACTCCGTTTCAGAAATCTCAAGTTGCTGACATCAGATATCTTGAGTTCCTGGATGTCAAATTACACCTTGGAAATCCACAATCCCTGGATGTCAAATTACACCTTGGAAATCCACAATCCCTGGATGTCAAATCACACCTTGGAGATCCACAATCCCTGGATATCAGATTACACCTTAGAGACCTCCAGTTCCTGGATATCAGATAACACCTTAGAGACCCCCACTTCCTGGATGTCAGATAACACCTTGGAGACCTCCAGTTCCTGGAAGTCAGATAACACCTTGGAGACCTCCAGTTCCTGGAAGTCAGATAACACCTCAGAGACCTCCAGTTCCTGGAAGTCAGATAACACCTCAAAGACCTCCAGTTCCTGGATGCTAAATTACACCTCAGAGACCTCCAGTTCCTGGATGTTAAATTACACCTCAGATACCTCAAGTTTCTGGATGTTAAATTACATCTCAGAGACCTCAAGTTTCTAGATGTTAAATTTCATCTCAGAGACCTCAAGTTCCTGGATGTTAAATTACACCTCAGAGACCTCAAGTTTCTGGATGTTAAATTACATTTCAGAGACCTCCAGTTCCTGGATGTTAAATTACACCTCAGAGACCTTCAGTTCCTGAATGTTAAATTACACCTTAGAGACCTCCAGTTCCTGGTCGTCAAATACCCCTGGGACATCTCCTGTTTCTGGATGTCTGATTACAGCAAGAAAGTCTCCAGGTTTTGGATGTTATGCCTCAGGGCTTGCCACGTGGCAGATGTCACTGATATTATGCCTCTGATATCTCAGATTCCTGAATGTCACAGAGTTTAGATATTTTCCGTGTTTTGAGTTCATCAACCTTCCTGCTTGGTGTATTACGTTCACTTTCATCACTTCCTACAGAATCGGTCTCAGAGTCACCAGACATCATACACTTAGATTCATCCTTCCCGTATGGGTCAACAATCCGGAAAGCTTCTAAAAACTCATTAAAGTCAATGAAACCGTCCTTGTTTAAGTCCAGGCTATGTGCAATGTCTATGATTTGGTCGTGTGATATGGATATATCCTGGGTATTAATCATCACACTGAGGGCTTCCTCAAACTCCTCCATGGAAATTGTACCTAGTAATGAACAGAGCAAACATGAGTTATTAAACAAGAAACTTTGTCAGGAATACCACAGTATTAATTGTCTTGCTTTCATTTCATAAGGGGCCGTTGTGGCAAAGTGGTTAAGGCATCTGACATTCTGCTACAACTAGCCCTCCACCATTGGGTCGCGGGTTTGAGACCTACATGGGGCAGTTGCCAGGAACTGGCCATTGGACGGTGGTTTTTCTCTGAGAACTCTGGCTTTCCTCCACTATCTAAACATGGCACGACCTTAAATGACCATAGCTGTTAATAGGAGGTAAACACAAACAAACCAAACCAAACTTGCTTTCATTATATTTTTTTCTTTTTTTTCTTTGAGGGTAAAATGAAATGTAAATCTTTCCATTTAAACAAAGAGGCCCAAAGGGACTGTATCACTCACCTAAATATTTAAATTTCAACTATCAAGAAAAGCTTCAGTCATCAAATATATAAACACCCAAATTTATCCATTCAGTGCACAGCTCCTCTGAGGAGCTACATGTTCCATGTTATGACCAAGGGGCTGCTTCTCCAGAGCATTCCTAGACCCCTGATCTAATTCTGGTAGCATTATTATGTGTTTGCCTTTTCATACTCAGCAAGCTCATATTTGGTTATAAGGTGGATATTTCAAACATTTGCATGTTATTTCTCAGGGACTAAGTCACCAAGGACATGGCCAGCCCAAAGACTAATTCTAAAGAATGATTGTATTCACCTCCTCATGCCCAGCAATTGTGTATGTTGGGTGTGAATCTCAACCATTTTCACGAAATCACCAATGGATCAAGTCTCCAAGGGCAGGGATGGACCTCAGAACCTATCATTGTAGCATTAGTGCATTTGTCTCTTCATACCCAGAAATTATGTCAATGATTACATAGTGGAGACCTCATCTTTTTCCAGGTAAGACCTAAGAACTTTGTCCTCAGGGGCCAGCAGGGTACCTTTAGCAATTATAGTAGCATGAAAGCATTCTTCTCTTCATGCTCAGCCATTGTATGGCTATAGAGTGGGGTTCTTAACTGTTATTACTAAGTGGCTAAGTCCTGAGTGACCCCAACAGGGACCTGATTCCTTCACCTAAAAACATTGGGTCCCATTGACTCAGGATACTCAGGAGTAAATTAAAAAAAAAAAAAAATGAGTGAATTTTGAAAAATATCCCTTTATTCTTAGTAGAAGAGGTATTTAAGGGATTTACCTCTACTTCATTTCTATTGAGAAACACCATTTGTTCATACAAAAGTTAGACCACTTGATAAAGGGATTTTCAAGGACAAATTCCCATTATTTCTGCAAAAGAAGGATTTTGAAAATTTACCTTTATTTCCCTTATTAAATATTTAGTCATCTTGGCCACACAATGATCCAGACCTTTGGCAAAATTTACTTTATAGCTGTTTTATACTACATTTTATAGTAGTTTAACGAAAAAATAGTTGACAGACTGACAACAGAGACCTCACCACGATTGATACAGAGCTAAAATTAATTAATCCATCTGAAATCAGGAATGACATGTTTTCACCTTCAGAAGATCAATTTCTAATTTCTAATTTTTAAATTTCAAAATAAGCACATTGTTCGCTTAACATAACATAATGATTTAATTTATACATAGATTTAAATTTATGGAAACCTGTGAGACAGATTTATAGGTGACCTGTACTGGTAGTTAGTTATACCTGGTCCCCTGTATTCGGAGTGGGGGTTAAAATCTGATATCCAGGTGTTTACTCTTACCTGAATTGTCTTTGTCAAAGATCCTGAAGATGGTCTCCAGGCTATCCTTGTTTCTGTACAGGAGCTCTGTGATGCTGTGTCCACTCTACAACAGGTGTTCACACATGTTTATAACCATGGTAGTAAAGTGAATAGAGGGCAAATATCAACTCCTAAAGATAGTTTTGTCCAGATTTAGCTGTGATCTTAACATCCAGTTGTGACCTCTATATGTTGGTGAGACCCCTATGTATAGTAATGACCTCTAAAGATAAGTTTATTATATGACTGGTGCTAATTCCCAGCCCTGATTGGAGGAGTGACGTCATGTGACGAGTCTGTAAATATGTTACAGACCTCGTTCTATTAATAGAAAAGTGTTACAGACCTCGACCTATGAATAGACCTAGGTAATTTCCCAGTCAGTCTGTAATTCTGAATTCAACTAAAAATGAATTATATCATCAAATTCTTAACTATGTGAATATTGATGATGACGACTGTGCAAATAATATTTACTTGAAATTTAATATCACATGAATTGAATCTGAAATCAAATTTGTGTGTATGCTATTTTGTATTTGAAGTCCTTCACTCTGTGATTCCAAAATGGTCCATGCCATCCATGTGTTTATGGCTTGAAAAATTATCAATCTCATTGTAAAAATTTCATATAAAAAAACGATTGTGGACTTCAGTCTTGGTATATCCCACATTTACGGACCTGGTTTGAAAAATATTCACCTCGGCCTTCGGCTGCTGTGAATATTGTTTTCAGACAAGGTTCGTAAATCAGGGATAGACCTCACCTGAAGTCCACAATTGTATAATAACCTCTACAAATAAATGTGACCTCTATAAATGATTATGACCTCTAAAGATAAATGTGACCTCTATAGATAAATGTATCCTTTATACAAAGTTGTGATCTCTATAGACAAATGTGTCATCTTAAAGAAGTTACGACCACAACTGTAAGGTTGACCTTTATAGATAAATGTGACCTGTATAGATAACTAGAATGCTGACAGGTCAGCAAGGGCCCTGCTGTATGCCTGACAGTGCATCTCCTGTATAATTGACTGTTCAGACAGTATATGCCCTATATGTTCTTTTTTAAGTAATGGCAACGTCGACCTGCAGAACTACTTAAAACCCTATTGCACATGTACCATCTTGTGTAATTTCAGAAAATTTGGCCTTCTGTAAGGCCCTTATCTGATGTCTTTTTGATTGTATATTCCGGGTTCTATTTTTAGTAACAGTGACCTTGACCTAAGAATTTTTCAAACCACTATTGCACATCTGCGAATAATCACAATGTATCATCATAATAAAATTTCAGAAAGTTTGGCTTTCTGTTAGGGCCTGGATCATGAGATAATCTCTGGACACGAGAGTGTTGACGGACAGATGCACACTGTGATTACTATAGGGCACCCACATTTTGCGGGGCCCTAATTATGATCCTGGTGCAGTTTTGACCTCTAAAAACCCCCAAACATAATGGCAGCATATATGTCAATGGCTCCTTCATTCCTACCTCAGTACTGCCATGATAGAGCTTCATGTCACTGAATGATGTGTTGTAGAGTACAGCACCGCTAGGGTCACACTTTGCCAGGTGAGGTCGCATCGTCCTCCAGGGCAGTTCCATCTCCATGACCCCCTCCAGCACATTACACCACTCAATCACAGAGATCGTACCTAAAGCAAATAGCATGGCATCAACCTGTGACCTTCATCTCTGACCCATAGACATTTATCCACGAAGGTCAAGGTCTGAGCAGATTATAAAAAATTGTGATAGAGTGATACTTTGTTTGTGGTAAATTAGATTTGAGATCTTAAGAATGTTTGATCTGTCTTGTTTTCATTTCAGTACATTTCCTTCTCAATTTAAAAACAAACATACACAATAGGATATACATTGTAATGGATCATTGTTGATTGGCTATATTCCTTATTCCACTTATACATATAAATAATTATGTTTTCCATACAGTTATGATAAACAGTGCTGAAGAATTCCATGATACAATTAAGATAATTATGTTTTCTGGGTCATGTGACTATATCTTACCTTTGTTTTCTGTGTCATGTGACTATACCCTACCTTTGTGTTTTGAGTCATGTGACTGTACATCAAACTGTTTGTCCTGATTCATGTGACTTTACATTTACCTGTGATTTTGGGGTCATGTGACAAACAATTGGTGTTTTTAAACCATGTCGCTGTGCACTACATTAATTTGTTTTCTGTTATGTGACCATGCATTTACCTGTGTTTTCTGGGTCACATGACTTAAAGTGGGTGATCAGCTCCGACTGACAGCCAAGGATCTTCCTCTTGAGATCCCTCATGGCAATTTTTTCCACCTGGCTAATCCTATAGGACAAACACAATGGATGACTTCTGCATATCTAATACATTTAACACATACATCTGTGTCTAAGACATCATCTAGTGTTAGTATTACACACAAATAATGTCAAAAGTGTCACCATGTTTCAACAGCTACCTGTCCCGTTTTGTCAATTAAGCTATGATAGAGTTACATTGCTTATTAAGTGAAGCTTTGATACACATTTCCTAACTGATGAACCTTATAAAAGACATCATTTAGCGCCTTTTTTACACTTAACAGTAGAGAAATCTTATAAATAGGACATACAGTTTTTCATAAACAAATCTTGTCACTCCAGATGGTGAGGTTGATTTCTTTGCCCAGGGATGCTCCGATGAGGTAGTCTTTTAAAGACTTTTTATTTATTCAACCCTGTCCCTCTGTCCCTAGCCTTTATTTATACAATTCAATCCTCTTGGCCCACGGATATTCCTTTGCCAAATTAAGTGGAAACCCTTTCACCCATGCTTACTGATTGGTGTTTTAAAAAAATTATCTTGATTTTCCGCTTTTTGGTTCTGCCTCGATGTGGGACACATCTTTATTTTTTATTCAATTTTCCAAGCAAGAACTATTCTACATTTGAACAAAATCTCACAGGTTCAGGACAGTAATATTTTAAGGAAATTGACATCAACTTAGACCAATGCCAGATGACTGATGGAAAATGGAAGCTTCGCCAAGTATAAGCTCTTATGGACGGGGCAGGGTGAAGTACCTTTTGGTGAAGGTGATAAGTACCTTTTGGTGAAGGTGATAAGTACCTTTTGGTGAAGGTGATAAGTACCTTTTGGTGAAGGTGATTTTGCGTTTGGTGGAGTGTTTGTTAACCATATACTGGACAATGTGACAAGATAAGTCCGGACCGGTCAGTTTGAGGTAAGCACCTTTGTTGCTGCCAACCTCATAGTAGTTAGAGGCCGAGAATATCGTGAGAACCTGAAACACAATTAGTGAACTTGATTACAAAATCATAGAGCCTCGGGTTACAATCATCATATCTTATAAGAAATTATACTTTATGATGAGATAATGTTGATTCAGTAAATTCTCATCGATCAGTGTGCGATGATAGAATTTCTAAATTAAACTAGGTATACATATTCAGTATTACATGTAACTGTATAGCAATAAACAGCTACCATGGTCATCAATTTGACTTGATAAAATGGACAAGTTTGTAATATCTAACTTCATGATGATAAAATTTGACCCTAGTTTGGACAGCATCTAGATGATGTAACTTTGGTAGTAAATAGTATTTGACACACTGACCACATCCATATATCCCTTCCCTGAAATAGACACTAAGAAGTATAATTAAAAAATAAGTTTTGTCGTGTAGTCAAGATCTGGTGCTTACAATATCATAAATCTAAAAACTGTTAGGTTGTTCTGTAATAAGCTTATATTATTAAGTTGAAAATATCGAGGGGAGATAATTCTAACATAACACTCAGGCATCGCTATAGATTTGATGTCCTGAGACAATATCATACCAGGAGACATAACACTCAGGCATCACTATAGATTTGATGTCCTGAGACAATATCATACCAGAAGACATAACAATCAGGCATCACTATAGATTTGATGTCCTGAGACAATATCATACCAGGAGACATAACACTCAGGCATCACTATAGATTTGATGTCCTGAGACAATATCATACTTGCCAACATTTCGATTTTTTTATGAGGGAAATTCTGCATACTTAAAATTAAAACATAAACAAAATGTTTGTAATATTATATCCTCTAGTGACAAAATAACCCTTTAAATGACATAGTGTGAGTTGATTAAATCATTAGATCTTAGAATTTGTGATTTTTTTGCAAATTCACAGGTTGAAAATGCTAAATTTAAGGGTCCAAAAGTGAGAGTCTCACTCCTAAGTAAGGAGGGTTGATAAGTATACAATATCCTGAGACAAACAGCACTTCAATATATAAAAACTGCAATAAGCATATTAATGTAAAGCATATTTACTGTAATGAGTTATGAAATTAACATACCATATAGCCTGTTATTTATGTTTGCTATTATGTGAGGCATATACAAATGGTTGTGGAAATTTGAACCTTGTAATAATATGATTCGTGAACTGTGATGTCAGCTGCAAGGCAGCCTAGCTTCTTTTATCACCAAACAGTATATAATTGCAATTAGCAAATATGTGTAGCATCTCAATTAATCAGGTAATAAGGCAAGTATGATTGTTTGAAATACATTTTGGTTTAAACTTTGTTTTATTCTAATTTTGTTTGACAATTCATCGAAATACAAATGGTACATTTTAAAGAACAGAAATTTACAAAATACATTTTATGGCAGGTTTTCCAGTTTTCTCTCATTTCCATGTGTGTAAGATAGAGCTGTCCAGGGTAAGAAAGGGGTGTAGGAAATTTCTATCTTACACCCCATTTCACGTGACGTGACGTCACAATGGCTCGACAATGATCATGACGGGGCGTCACAAATTCGGAACTCTTCGATGCCGCAATACGGAAAAGGTGACGTGATGAAATTAAAAACCTTTTACGATATATTTACTGTACACGTAAGAAAGATGTGATTAGTTTTCCTGCACAAATCTGGCTGACTGATTCGTTTTCGTCTAAAAAGCTCAGGGGGGAATCAATATTTTCAAAATGGTGGCCAGTCCAAATGCATTTTCATGGTTTCTGAGCTTATTCTGGTGGTTGGAATGAGAGAAAAATACTCTTTCATGCCCAAGGGTGTAGGATAGGGAAATTCCACCGTCGGGATTTTCAAATTTGGCAAAACCCTCGACAATTACCAATTAAAGTTTAATTTTAATAAATTAACTTTTCTCCTATAGAGTAAAAATTGCATAAACTTATGGAAATAATACAGCCTATAGTATACAGCCAAACTTGCTCAAGAGACCACCTCTATTAAGAGACCACCTCTATTAAGAGACCATGCATTAACCGATCATTTCCCAGACAGCCTGAAGGCAGTCTAATGAATGAGGGCTCTGAATACTTCAAATAACATGTGAGGGTGGTGTACCTTATCATTGTGGGTGTACTCATATCCCTCCACTTTACATTCATGAGAACGAATGAGTCGTTGTAAATTATACTTGTCTAATATCATTGTGGTGACATCCGGCCCAAAGTAACTTCCTCCTCCCCGGAACGTGTTAGGGAGGCACCCGTCTTGCACTCTCGGATCACTCCACAGAAGATCGAGAACCTGCAATATCAAAACAAAATTGTGGCATCATAAATGATTTCTGATTTTTTATAATAAATTTGTGTCAGTTCACTGTAACAGGAAGATGGAAAAGAATATGAACCTACTGAAAAGAATTACCGAAGTATTTTCATGACAAATAGGTTGAGATTATTTCTTGTTTAAAATTCAACTCATTCACCCCTGAAAAAAAATAAAAATCTTCCAATCCAATTGGTAGGGATGGTTCATTATGAAATCTCAGGGGTGTATGAGTTAAGCAGTTGCTGCAACCTAATGCAGCCTTTATTGCTTTAGATAGCATTTTTGTTAAAAACAAACAAGCAAGGGACATAACTCTGTCATTAATGATGCGATGGTTTTGGTTATTTTTGTATTTAGTGTCTATAAGGTTCTACAATGCTTTGTGTTTATTTATTCCATCAGGTGTTTGACAGTAAATTGACCCTTTGTTTACCTGTTTCCATTCCATTAATTCCACTTCTGTTACATTTTCATCATCAAAGCTTCGAGACGGATGTAGCGTGGACAGAAACTGGATCAGAAAACAACACAACCATTATTTATATAACTGGTCTTCAGAAAAAGGTATATAGTTTGACATGAATTTTGGCTGAATACAAATTTTGATACCAAATTTATACCCAAAATGGTACAAAAATTACCCACATCTCAATGGTTGAGACTCACTTGATTACCTTATGTTATTCAAGAATCACTCATCTGATGATGATAAAGAGTCCCCCAACTTATCCACCTTGGTTGAGTGAGACTACCACCAGTGACAGACAAGAATTGATTACCCATGGCACCTTGCACCATTTACGATTCACATATCTGGTAATGGTCAAGAATTACCCCCTTTGCCTTATTAAAGAATCACCCACATTTTGATGGTCAATATCGGCCCACATTGTGATGGTTAAGAAACAATTGTACTGGGGTGAGTAAAGAAATTATTCATCTTGTGTCTCTCTGGTGATGGTCAAGAAACTTTGATCTATATATATCTATCAGTATTGGTCAAGAATTCCTTGTTTTCAGACACTTATTCAAGAATCACCCATCTTGTGATGGTCAAGAGTTAACAGAATTGTTTTCTCAGTAAGAGGCCCATTTGCCTGTATCACTTACCTGCAACTAATGGTGAAGGAGTTCAGGTTTTTTTAACACACTTGATCTCTATGACCTTCAATAACAGTCATGATTATTTATTAGGACAATATTGATAACCCTTCACCCCAGCAAGCTAATGACTAAAGATGTAGGAATTCTTGACAAGAAGTAATTTGAACTTCTCCCCAAAAATAAGTCCTATGATCGTGAATGTAAGTAAAGTAAATATCACCCCAACAAGCTACATTAACAGGCCTTTTTTTCTTTAGGTGTCATTGATTTCTTTCTTGAAAAATATTGGTTGAAAATTTTGACACATTTAACATCTGTGACCATGAATGTGGATCAAAGTATTTTAAAAGAATTAACCTTGCCCCTTCATCAAAATAGTTGTCAGCAGTCTTTCACCACAGCATTAGCTACAGATTAAATATCATGACAGTTTTAGTTCTGTAAAAGAATTAATTTTATGGTTGCAACACCCCTGTGACCTTGAATATGGGTTAAGGTCATGTGTGTGAACAAAGCTGATAGCCCTTCACCCCTGAAAATTATATGCCAAATATCATTTCCTAATCTAATTTCGAAAAAGTTGTTCAAAGAAACATTTATTCATAATGGACAAAGTGACAACAGACAGAAAGAGGACAGAAACCACTCATGCCGTGCTATCATATCAGGGACTATAAGCCATATGAGATTAATATAATCCATCAAGTATCACAAATGGGTGATGGGCAAGAAGGATCTAAACTAACACCTACCTTGTGTCTGTCTAACTGGGAGATGAGGTCCAGGTCTATGGTGTCGGAGAGACCACCATGGACCACCAGCACCTTGTCATCAATAATGGTCGCCAGGGGCAACCAACTAAACAGGTCTTCAAAAAGTCGGAGGATGCCATTGGCATAGACCTAAAAATGGATGTAATAGACAACTGGTAGGCATTCTACATCCCTGACAGGGAGACAACTCCAATGACCTTCTCGGGAATCTGTCACTAACTTGTGGTGGTACAACAAAATAACACATTTAGATGATAGTAATTGTCAGACAGTGGTTATGCAATCTGACCTAATTCATCATGCTCAATTGATGTAAATCCATTAAGGTCAGTATGACCTAAACTGAACTGGTCATCTAGAATGATCTGATTATTGATTGATGTGAAAGCAAGGAGCTATCTCACTGAAACAAGGAGTTATCTCACTGAAGCAAGGAGTTATCTCACTGAAACAAGGAGTTATCTCACTGAAGCAAGGAGTTATCTCACTGAAACAAAGAGTTATCTCACTGAAGCAAGGAGTTATCTCACTGAAGCAAGGAGTTATCTAACTTCTCACTGAAGCAAGGAATTATCTCACTGAAGCAGGGAGTTATCTCACTGAAGTAAGGAGTTATCTCACTGAATCAAGGTGTTATCTCACTGAAGCAAGGAGTTATCTCACTTCTCACTGAAGCAAGGAGTTATCTCACTGAAGTAAGGAGTTATCTCACTGAAGCAAGGTGTTATCTCACTGAAGAAATTAAATATGTTTAAACACTCCTTAATATTTTACGCTAGTTAAAGTTACAGCTAACCAACAGAATCAGGCATACCACCGTCAAGTTAAACAATTACCTTTAACAATGTATAATCATTGGCGGCATGGATATCAATTACAAACAATATTACTACAGTTATTGATTACTTTTTTACATCCAGTATAATAAATTGTTTCAGTAACAATAGAAAAATGACGTGGGCAGAGAACCGCTTATGTATAAGTCGTTACCTGCGGAAGAGCACAGTAAAGGTTAATGAGATAATGAAGAAGTTAATTCACGGTGCCAGATAAGCATTCACCTAAGCTTAATACTGTAACACACAGTATTCCTACTCTGACACATTTTTACCATCTACACTTTTAAAATGGTTTTACCAAGTTTTGAATTCTCCCACTCATATTTGCTGATACGTACTGCTTGCCCCTGGGGTATATATATATATTTTGTCTTCTTGCTCTAGGCAAATACAAAATGGAAGCAAAATTGTTCTGTTTTATGGTATAAAATGAGATTATTAGAACCATAAGAACATAAGAATAGATTTAATAAGAAAAAACAATTATGTATTCATTTTTCCCGCCTCTATTTATGTATATGTTTGTAAGATACATGGTGTCCCATACGCTATGTGTATCCCATAGGGGTAAAACCCAATCATCTTTTATATTATGACATTGCATTCTTAAGTCCTGTAAAAATTTGATTGATAATAGCGCTCCTTTAATCAGCAATGGACACCATGAATTATTGCACAAGCTAAATTGCCATCAAAATCTTGAATACATCTTAAATTTGATCATATCATCTTTCGTGTTTTTCTTCATATGGCTTTAGTTTATGTGTGTGTTATGTAGAAATTTGGCTGTATTAAGTGTTGGACTTGCATTGTCAATGTTATGTTTTACCAAAATTTTCAGAAAGAGATTGGAGACAAAAGGTCATCATTGTGTATAGGTATGGAGATGGAAAGTCTACCCGGGAGGTCAGAATGTCAGCAAGCCTCAGTTCTGACCCTAGATTTATATATCCTCCATATCTACACTTGTTAGATCTTATCAGTCTTAAACTTACATACTCACTGAGTATTTCTTGTTGACTTCTTTCACGAACCCATACCTAGAAAAATGGAGGAAAATGTTCAAAAACAGGGTATGTCTGGTATGATAGGACTGCAGCTTACCGATCAATAATGAGAGTTGGTGTTTGGAAATTTATACTAAATAATAATAATCATAATAATAATTTGAGCTAGTCACAAGCTAGTTCGTAGGACGTCTCAAAGCGATTCACAAATTATTATCTGTGGTTATAGGGCCTTTGCAACTAGCCAATATCTTTCGCAACTCCCTGGGGAGCATACAGCTGGTGCTGCCATTTCGGCGTTCACAGCTAGCATTCAACAATTCTAGCACTGCCCAACCACATACTCATTTACAGCTGAGTAGACTGGGAAAAGCGGAGTAAAGTATCTTGCTCAAAGATACAACACAGTGCCGTGCCGTAACTATAGTTAAGTCCTTTGTCCTAGGGATACTTCATACCAAGTATTCTCAAAATGTGTCAACACATTGAGTAACCCCGTTTTTCCCTTTTGGACTCATCCCTCTGCCTCCACCAGTACTATGCCTTTCATTGATACGAAATTGAATTCCCTCAGTTTGAGATGGAAAACAAATCAAAATGTCTAAAGCGATTCTGTTAAGTAGGCTCTTAAGGATATGATAATGGAATATATTCCAACTCTGGCTTCAAAAACATTGTTCTTCATTGCTAAACTTCATTGATTCATTTTTGACTCATTTTCTCATCCTCCATATACAGCTGTATATTCCACAATTATACAGGATCCGAGACCACTTCACAGTGAACCATCTTTAGGCCATGTGTTTCCTACCTTACCCCATGTAATCAACTATTTTCTTTCTGACTATCAACATCCATATTAATTAGTTTGTAGCAGCTATTAGTAGCCGCTTTTAAGACATTTTCCCTGTAGTAAATTACTTTCAAAATCAATTATTTTTTCTGTTGCCTGACGTTCTAATCACTTAAGTTTAGCAATAGAAACCTTAGAAGAATTAATCCAAGTCAATTAATCTAACAAATTTGTTTTTTAAATCATAGCTTAATTTGGTTTTTTGACAATGCATGGATTATGAATCAGAATAAACTTTTTCAAGCAAATCATAATAAACTTCCAACAAATTTACATAGAATATTATCCCACCTCTGAAGACGGCCAAATTGGATTGAGGTAGGGGTTTGAAGGTTGAGTTATGTGACATACCGTATGTTCATGATGTGGTCCTCATGATTACCTCGGTTTATATAAACCTCGTTAGGATTCAACAAAAAACACGCAAAAAGTATCACAGATATCTCAACAGAGTTAGTGCCCCTGTCCACAAAGTCGCCATTGAAGATGTAAGGATTGTCAACCGAAGGCAGGCCGTTCTGAAACAGAAAAATAACCCTATCACAGAGGATCTGACATTACACAAGCATACATTTCTGTTATTATATATGACATTACACAAGCATACATTTCTGTTATTGGATCTGACATTACACAAGCATACATTTCTGTTACTAGATCTGACATTACACAAGCATACATTTCTTTTATTAGATCTGACATGACACAAGCATACATTTCTGTTATTAGATTTGACATTACACAAGCATACATTTCTGTTATTGGATCTGACATTACACAAGCATACATTTCTGTTATTGGATCTGACATTACACAAACATACATTTCTGTTATTAGATCTGACATTACACAAGCATCCATTTCTGTTATTAGATCTGACATTACACAAGCATCCATTTCTGTTATTAGATCTGACATTACACAAGCATCCATTTCTGTTATTAGATCTGACATTACACAAGCATCCATTTCTGTTATTAGATCTGACATTACACAAGCATACATTTCTGTTAGTAAGTAGGGATCTGACATTACACAAGCATATATATTTCTGTTAGTAGGGATCTGACATTACACAAGCATATATATTTCTGTTAGTAGGGATCTGACATGACACAAGCATATATTTCTGTTATTAGATTTGACATTACACAAGCATACATTTCTGTTATTAGCTCTGACATTACACAAGCATACATTTCTGTTAGTAAGTAGGGATCTGACATTACACAAGCATACATTTCTGTTACTAGATCTGACATTACACAAGCATACATTTCTTTTATTAGATCTGACATTACACAAGCATACATTTCTGCTATTAGATCTGACATTATACATGTATACATTTCTGTTATTAGATCTGACATTACACAAGCAGACATTTCTGTTATTAGATCTGACATTACACAAGCATACATTTCTGTTATTAGATCTGACATTATACATGTATACATTTCTGTTATTAGATCTAACATTACACAAGCATACATTTCTGTTATTATATCTAACATTACACAAGCATACATTTCTGTTATTAGATCTGACATTACACAAGCATACATTTCTGTTATTAGATCAGACATTACACAAGCATACATTTCTGTTATTAGATCTAACATTACACAAGCATACATTTCTGTTATTAGATCTGACATTATACATGCATACATTTCTGTTATTAGATCTGACATTACACAAGCATACATTTCTGTTATTA